TGAAAATGGTAATCAACATTGCATGATAAAATGCAGTTGCAATTTATTGTGGCTTTTGAACAATTCAGTCACAATACTTGCAGTAAGTATTCATCAGACCTTTTTGTGACTCCTCTTTCTGTCATTCCATCTTTCCGTCAACCCCCACCACACCCCCCACCACCACCGCCGTCATGCATTCAAATGTCTCCATAATGATCATCAGAAGCACAGCATCCACAGAGTGGGAGAATCTCAATTATTCTGGGGTTCACTACTTGTTCCCTCCAATGGTTATTGGATGTATTCAATAAGGTCTGAAAAGCAGTTCAATTTCTTTCAGACATCATTCAACACAGCAGCATTTTAAAAAACATTAGGTAATCACGCACCAGTGAGTCTGCAGCAAAATTACATATTAATGGCACAAGAACATTTTTGAACAGATTGTGGTTTCAAGCTATTATGTAAGATGCATTACAATTTATCATGATTCACCAAACGGACCCATTCCCATTTCAGCCTGAACTGTGTGGATGAAAACAGAAATCTCACTTACTTTAGTATGCTTCATGCGATTGGTGAGATTTATTTTCAGAGCTTCTGGGTGATCCTCTGAGATAAAAACACAATGGACATTGGTCTATTCAGTCCCATCCATCAAACTGGAGGTTCATTCTTACCATACACACTTCCTTATTAGGATTGTTACCCTCCATACTGAAAATATACTTTTGTCCATTCCAAAATGGTATCCAGTAAAGCCAGGGTGAGCCACCATGGAACCCTTCAAAGAGGAGGTTCAGATGAAGAAGATTTCAGGTTATTATTTATGAGGTGCCTACGGTCACCTCCCCCTCCCCCGGTGTTGTACTCCGCCACTGTTGGGCAGTCTGAAATGCTGCTCTGCAGGCTGGCTCACTTGATAGCACTATTGTCTCTGAGTCAGAAGATTATGAGTTCAAGACCCACGACGGGACTTTGAACTCACATAGTCTAAGATGACACCTCAATGGGGTTGTGTTGCATCAAGAGAGGTGTCATGTTGACATTAAAGATCCCATGGCACTATTCAAAAAGAGAATGGACTTTCTCCCGGTTTCCTCACCAATAACATCCCCAAAACAAAATGGTCATTCACTTTATGGATGTTTATGGGACATTGCTGTGTGCCAAATGGACTGCTGTGTTAGCTCATAAACGTTTTCACTCCATTTCACATTAAATCGTGAATTGTCCTCTTAACATGAAAGCTGCTAGACCAAATGCAAGGATTAAATTACTGTGCATTTTGGCAACATGAGTGGAATCTCCAGGTCATCGGAATGCTTTTAGTTATCAGTGGATTTTTGTTTATTGGTTGTGTTGATAAATTTGGCCGAAAATGCTTACGGAATACAATCTGCATTTATATAGCAGCGGTCACATAGGGAGGATGTCTTAAATGGTTTAGCAGGTTTGTATCTATAAAAATGTCAAAACATACTGAACATGTATTTCTCCTCAACAAAGTAAGCCTCTTAGTTGCCACTGATTGGAAACTTTAGATTTGAATATCTAATCAATTCATTTGGTTTTCATTGACTTATTGCCAAGTACAACTCAATATCAATATATCTTGAGCAATTCATCCTCAAAATGGAATTATAAATCAATATCATATGCAAAACATTTTTAGTCTGCTGACAGTTTGATCCACAGAAAGTCGTTGCTCATGCTTATGAATCTGTACTCCCAGTTTTGGAGAACTCATAGTTGCATTTTCTGTTTGCATGTTCTCTGCGGTGCATAATCTTTCCTCAGGAGAGGAATAGGTTTGTGTATAGACAACATGGTCCCTAGTTGGCAGAAGCCAAGGTACTAGGAGCCCTAAATGCACATAGTCATAATGAACCTACTGCATTGTAAACTCTCACTGATGAACATTCACCTTATATTGCTGATAATCCAATGTAGTGCTGGGGATGCCACCTTTTTTAGGTGGATGTTAAAGAAATTCCATAGCACAATTTGAAAATTGAAGGCAGTGTCCCAACCAAAAATCTCTCATTACAGTTGATCATTCATTTCACGGCTGTTGTGGGACATTGCTGTGTCCAAATTGACAGTCTACAAATGCACAATTTACGGTAATAATCCTGTGATGGTCTCTGAGATGACTTTCTGACATGAAAGGCACGGTATCAAATTCAAGAATTATTATAATCATTATTATCATTATAGTTTGAATAAGATAAAAGTTAAGGATGCTAGAAAGTGGAATACATACTTGGAACCTATCTGTCGAAATCAGATGATGTCAACAATCCTGCATGTTCTACAAAGCCAACACTAAAAACATAAATATGGATTTGGCATTCCACCATAAACATTTCCTTTTCCTATTCATTTTACAGTCAAACTACCTTGTAGCTGTTGATCAGGGCTCGGGATAGGAATGTCTCCCTTGTAACCTACTGAGTATTCTACTTAGCAAATGAAGACCATTAAGTGTTCAGCTTTAGCTGCTCTGGTCTAAGAATTAGTCAATCTAAATTTGTTGTTGCATTGTCTCTAGTTCAGGCTGATGCCATTTTTGATTACTCAGTATGTATATACAGAGGTATTGTACAATGTGTGAGGCATCGTGAATTATGGGGCGGTATGAGGCATCGTGAGTTAACAATGATATCGTATGAGGGGCTGACATGATAACTTATGAGTGCAGAGGGTAGTGAGATTGTGGTTCTTCTTGCCTGAAGCAGTGGCTAAATCAGATAGAGAAGATGCATTCAAGGGAAGTTAGACCTTCACATGAGGGAGAGGGGAAGAGAAGGTGTATGAGTGGGAGTAAAAGTGTGGGTGGAATTGTGTGTAGTATAAAACTGGCATGGACTAGTTAGGCCAAATGTCCTGTTTCCATGCTGTACATTCCTTTTAAACTTTGTAAGTAATGCTAAATTGTATACCATAGCTCTTCATTATTCTATGAAACGTTAAGCAAGCAAGTAAAATAACAATAATAATCCTTGCATTTAGTGTTGTGCCTTTCACATCAAGACACTGTACATCTCAACTCGCTACACAGAATTTACTCTCAAGTGTAGTGACTGTGTATTTGTGGGCAAAAGCTTGCTGGAAAGTTTTAAAGTGACTGGATTGTGGGCCATTTTGGTTTATAAGTCTGAAACTGTAATTATAATTCAAAAGATGTGATATTTTAGCAATGGATTTTGCACATTTGTTTCGCTAATAAGGAATGTAAAGTTCTGCTAAATCAGTTCTAACAAAACTAATACAAAAAGATTCATTACATTCTTCAATATCCTCTAAACTAAATCACACACTGTAACATGGTCTTAATTTGGATCTCCACCAACACAAAACGACAATCATGGAGTTTTATTATCTAATGTACTGGATGTAATAACACACTTCAGGAAATAATAATCTATCAGTACTGCAGCTTCAACAGGATAAAACAGGACCAAAGTGCTCATCATAGCATTACGTCTCTCTGGCTTTTCCATCAGCACACTGAACCACTCTTACCCATAATCGATGGAGCCAATCTCTTGCATTGTATTAAGTGTACGCACTTGTGCACATGTTAAACTCTGTATGTCATTATATTATTTTTCTTCTTAATTAATTTAATTGAACACTGATTAAATACAAATCACAGAATTCCTTCCCCAAGTGCTGGAAAGACATTTAAAAATTACTTACTGCTCAGTGACTGGGGCTTAAGTTGAATTCGCTAAAATTCCTTTTTCATTTACTCGACCAAAATTATCACTGGTTGTGAACTGAGACAAGTTTGAAGGTGTGTTTGATATCACCCCATGTCCCAGAATAAGAGCAAAATGGCCACACACCAATACAACAGGAAACACAGATGCAGAATTGTGAGGGTCAATTTCAAGACATATATGAGGAATTATATCTTTACACAAAGACTGATAAGCAGCTGGAAAGGGTTATCGGGAAGGTTGGCAGAGATCAGCTTAAGGTTGTAATGGGAAGAAGGTAAAGGACATTCTGTGAGGAAGGGCCCTGAAGGGCTTTCTTTATCCGTACCTCTCTTGTGATCACTTGTGAATGACGTGGATACAAATATACAATGTATCAGATGAGACATCAATAAAATAGACCCCATTTACCTGTTCAGGTGGAAGTTAAAGATCCCACAATATAAAATCTATTGGCAGTGTTTAGCTCTTCAGTTGTTTCAAAAAGATTTTTTGAAAAAACTGTTATTAAAAAGCATCAAATAGTATGGCAGTCCATTGAGAGACTATTTTTTTTACCTACCTCTGCACTGACATGATTCACTTCATTTATCCACCAGTGTTTAATACACTGTGGAGTTGTGAAACCACATGTTATGAAATAATAATCATTCTTTCAGCTACTACCAGCACCATTTTAATCCCCCATGATCCAGATGTTAACAAAATAGATTGCTTGTATTGCCTGCGTCTTGATTGATCAGGCACCAGTGAATTCTGAAGAGCCAGAAGCTTCACCAAGTACAGTATTGCACACTCAAGAATTTTCCCATATGTATATCTGAAATGTAGTTTTGTATTGTACCAAACTTCTACCTTATTTCAGATGACCATGTGTCACTTTTTGAAATTGGTTTGGTCAGCTGGGTGCCTGATACACACGGAAACTCATCACCATGATTAAGGGTATCCAAACTAGACTGAGTGTTGCACATATAATAATAATAATCTTTGCATTTGATGTAACGCTGTTCATGCCTTCTAGACATCTCAAAGCGGTTCACAGAATATACTGTATGTAAACTGAATTGACTGTATATTTGTGGGCAAAATGCAGCAGCCAATTGCGCACAGCAGTATCCCACAAACAGTGATGGATTCAGTGACCAATTTATTATTGTTTTGTTTTGGAGGGATTATTATTAGGTGTGTGGAGTAAGGAAACTTGCCTAAGGTTTTGCCCTACCTGGAATTGAACCAAGGTGTCTCGCTTACAAGTTGAGTGCTCTAACCACTGAGCTACAGGACTCCACAAACCTGGTTAGATGCCACGAAGTTAGTGGCAATGCCTTAACCATTATGTGTTGTGAAGACCACAAGGGCCTCTTCCATCCTTATCAAGGGGAGTGTTAACCTTCTCTTCTTTCATACGATACAATGTATGCCACCTACACATGGACATTTCTCTGTCTCTGGAATGGATTCCACACATTCTCTCCAGGGAGAAACAATCTGTTTAGCTAATAGTAGAAAGTATTAGATGCACGTTAGAGAGAGCAAAGGTTTGGGGACGCCGGAGTGTGTGTTGGGATACTGTTGGAATTTAGCTAACTAAATTCACTTTGACATCCATTGTCTGACAAGCTTCAAACTGCTTGCCAATGACCAATTAACAGTAAAGTAATTCAAATTGTCACATAACTAGTTAATACAATTTGGGGATCCCAATTCACAAGCAACAAGTGGATGTTTTAAATTATAGTACTGATGCTTGTGGGAGATGAAAATCCTATGCTCAGTGCAGAAAAAAATGTTTCTGTTTTTTTCTGTTTTTCAACTTTCTGTTTAGAAGTTGATTTGAGTTTGATCTCCCACTGAGGAGTCATTGGCTGCATATTGCTGAGTCTGACTATCAGATGCCACCTATTATTGTAATCGCAGTTGTATTTTTGTGATGCCATTCCTAATTATATCATGCAAAAAGAAATCTCACAGCACCAGCCAGCAAAAGTGATGTGCTTTGAAAATAATAGCATAAATGCATGTGTATATTAATATTTCACTGCACCAGAGCTTGTTTGATCATAGATGCTGTAGGAATGCTATGGGCCACTTTTCATTTATCTTGTGAGAAGCTGGGCAACAATGCTAAAAACACACTCATTCTGATTCCCCCCTCCCCTCCTCTGGTCCTCAGTTTTTCCTGGATCATAGTAATAATCCTTGCATTTGATTCACCGTGAGGAATGCCTCTAAGTGTTTCAAGGGAATGCCTCTAAGTGTTTCAAGGGATTTACCGTAAAGTGACTGTGTTTTTGTTAGGTGAATGTAATTGCCAATTTGCACACACTAATGTTCCACCAAAAGTCATGAAGTGAATGACCAATTTTATCCTGGAGATTGTTGAGCAGGCCACTGAGAGAAAATTGCCTCCCTTTTTGAATAGTGCCATGGGATCTTTAGCATCCACCTGAACAGACAGTGCAACCTCGGTTTAACATCACAACCGAAAGACAGCACCTCCAATTATTCAGTGCTGTGAATTCCCAATGCCCTTCTTTCTCAGAAGAGGGAGTGCTGCCAACTGAGCCAAGTTGATCCAGAGTAGAAAGGGCAATGAAGTCTATGCTGTGGTATTTCCTAATGGATTTTCTAAATAAGGAATAATAATAATAATAATCCTTGCATTTGATATAGCACTTTTCATGTCGGGAGGACGTCCCAAAGCGCTTCACAGAATACACTGTGAAGTGAATTGATTGTATATTTGTGGGCAAACGCGGCAGCCAATTGCGCACAGCAATGTCCCACAAACAGTCGTAGATTGAAAATGACCAATTTATTATTGTTTTTGGTTTTGGAGGGATTATTATAAGGCTCTGTGTGGAGTAAGGAAACTTGCCCAAGGTTTCGCCCTCTGCCTGGAATCCAGTTAGAATTACTGTCAACCACTCTGATGTAGTCTGAGTTCAATTCCCATGAGATTTTCAGTTCCTGGAAGGAAGGAGTCTCAATTTGTACACCTTAGATTTCACCTACAAGATATGCAGTCACTACAGCAGATTATATGAGGCACTTTGAGATGTCTTCACAATGTGAAAGGTATTATATCAATTCCAATTATTATTTCTTATTAGGAAATACCACAAATTAGAGTATTACTTCCTCATTGCATTATTCCCTCTTTACTTCCTTTTTACTATGCAAAACATTAAGATTAAAATCTACATTATGAATCCACAATATGTTGTACAAAATTATAATGCCTTTATAGTTGCAAGTCCCTTGATTCCTATCTCACACCTGAGTCTGTCACACAAAAAAACATTTGCTCCTGATGAACCCAGGCATCCTTTTACAAAAGGTGTGTATAGTTTGAGGATGAAAGTAAAGAAGTGGGTAATTTCCCTGGTGTCAGGCACTTGTGAAGAAAAAAACTTTACCCAATGCTTTTTGTCAATTTTTCCAACAGAACATTCTGCTGATGAAATTTAAGTCAAGCAATCAGTATCAGTTGAAAGCATTCAAATTTGCACTTTTAGATGCAGAAATAAGCCACTTGACCTACAAAATGTTATTTTACTCTGCACTGATAGTAGACATAAAGAATTAGCTGCCAAGATGAAATTATTACATACACCCACCTTGAAAGTTGTTCTTAAAGTGGAAGCATTTTATTAAATGGAAGGGTGCATTCATTGGAGGAGTCAAATAATCAAATAAATACAAATAAATCCGAACAGTTCAGAGAGGATAAAGGTTAGGCCAGAGTCCTGTGAACTGTTTTTTGTTAGTGAAATATTGTACTTCATCTGAGCATTACAATAATAATGGTAGTGCTATTTGCCAGATTCTTTTCTAATAACATCCTCAGTGATTTGCAAGAAATATGTTTTCTTCACTCTCTATCATGATCCTTCACAGCACACTGAAGTTGGGGTATCAATTACATCTTCTATAGGAATATTAAAAGGACAGAGGAACACATGAGTCAGACTGCACACATGCTGGACCATCATCAGAATTCCAGAGCACTTAAGAGATCAACTATATATATCAAGATCAAGGTAAACTTAGGAAAACAGTGACATACATGTGGGACTAAACAACGCACATTGCACTATCACAATCCAGATGTATCTCTGGAACATGCAGTCCACAGAGTCAACACCATCCTAATCCAATTAATCTGTGCCATAAAACATTTAAGCATCAAAATAAACTTCTCCTCATCTCTCCTCTGGTTCTTTTTGCCAAATATCTTAAATCTCTGTCCTCTGGTTACTGACCTACCTGCCAGTGGAAACAGTTTCTCCTTATCTACTCTATCAATCCCCTCATAATTTTAAACACCTCTATTAAATCTCCCTTTAACCTTTTCTGCCCTAAGGAGAACAATCCCAGCTTTTCTAGTCTCTCCACATAATTAAAGTCCCTCATCCTTGGTACCATTCTGGTAAATCTCATCTGCACCCTATCCAAGGCTTTGATAGTGCCCAGAAATGGACGCAATACTCAAGCTGAAGCCTAATCAGTGACCTATAAAGGTTCAGCAGAATTTCCTTGCTTTTGTACCTATGTTTATATTTATAAAGCCATGGGTCCCAAATGCTTTCTTAACAGCTCTATCAACCTGTTCCGCCACCTTCAAAGACCTGTGTATGTGAACCCCTAGGTCTCTCTGCTTCTGAACCCCCTTTAAAACTGTACCATTTCGTGTATATCGCCTCTCCTCATTCTTTCTCCCAAAATCCATCACCTCACACTTCTCTGCATTAAACTTCATCAGACATGTGTCTGTCCATTTCTTCAGTCTGCCTATGTCCTCCTGTAGTCTGTTACCATCCTCCTCACTGTTTACTACGTTCTCAAGTTTTGCGTCATCTCCAAAGTTTACAATTTTAAAAGTTCAAGTCAATTATGTATATCAAAAAGAGCAATGGACTTAATACCAACCCCTGTGGATACCAATATGTACTTCCCTCCAGTCTGAAAAACAGCCATTTACCACTACCCTCTGCTTTCTGTCTCCCAGCTAATTTTGTATCCATGCTGCCACTATCCCTTTTATCCCATGGATTTCAATTATGCTAACTTGTCTATTAGATGGCACTTTATCGAACACCTTCTGAAAGTCCATATACGCTACATTAATGTTTATTCTTAACATTTAAAATTGTGAAGAATTGAGATAAATTCTTCAATTTACACCGAATTTAAAAACTGTGATTTTCTGCCAGTTCCTAAAAAATAAACCGACTTCCAAATTAAGAATTAATTTTCAATTTTTTTCACAATTCTGCCCAATACAGGTGAAGACTAGAGAGAATTCCAGGCTTCTCTCTCCACAGATCATCCTTGCATTTGCCTTTTCGATAATCATCCTTGAATTTGATAAAGAGCCTTATCGCTTTGTTGAGACAACAACAATTTGCATTTATATAACTCCCCTCAAGCAAGATAGTGTCCCAGAATGCTTGACAATGGAAGAGTACGACTCCGAGGCAGGGGGAGGGGGAGGTCAACTTAGCCACGGTTGAATAGGAAGGTCTTTAGGTGCGATCTGAAAATGGGGAAGGAAGGGGCAAGGTGGAGGGATAGAGGAAGAGTGTTCCAGGGTTTCGGGGCCTAGCGGCTGAAAGCACAGCCAGCAATGGTGGAACGGAGGGCACGGGGGACATGCAGAATGCCGGAGCCTGTCGAGTGGATGCAGTGTGTTGTGGGTTGGAGGTAAGCAGGTCGGAGAGTTAGGGTGTGTGCCAGGGCATTAATGGATTTGAAAACGAGTGTAAGGATCTTGAAATTGACCCGTTCGGCGATAGGGAGCCAGTGGAGCTTGGCTAGAACTGGTATGATGGGGGTATGGAGTTTAGTACAGGTAAGTATGCAAGCATCTCAAAGAGACATCTCAAAGCGTTTTACTGTAAAGTGAATTGACTGTTTATCTTGTGGGTGAAACGTGGCAGCCAATTGCGCACAGCAACTAACTTGGTGGGAGGAAACAAAAAAAGAAACTGCAGGATTTTGTAGATCTTTAAAGTTCCTGAAAAACTTAATATTGGCATTTTTCACTTAATTTTGTGTGCTTCAAGATGGGAACTTTACCCCCCACCTCCCACGCTGATAATTCACCACACTTGATGGTTTGCACTTAAACCAAATTTATTGACAAGAAGAGAAATAATAATAATAAGACAGGGTAAATTTACCCAAAAGTTTCTTTTTTATGTTATTGCCTTGACAAAGCTCTACCTCATTATAAACTTACAGCTCTTACAGGTGAATTGAGTAAATGGAAGTTGGCAAGCCAGATATTTACCAAATGAACCTGTCAATTGTCAATCAATATTATAAAATGGTTGTGACTGAGATACATGCAACTGATCAGACAATATTTACTGGATAGCATCACTGGAGATATGCACTGAATCCAATC